GGAATAAAAATACATTCATAAATAGAATAGAACAAAATAATTAATGTTCTCATCAGTTTTATGTCCTGCACTTCACCTGTTTCTTTTCCTTTACACCTTAATTCCTGACAGCCACACAGAACTGAAATCACAAATTATGAGGTGGGAAGTTTCTGTTGACTCTCCATCTAGTGTTTAGGCGGAGAAATGTACATTATATTCATCTAAATATTTGAACAAAAGACTCAGGTAAGATCCTATCTACTTTATTAGGTAAATGCCACAACAAACGGAAACTGAAGGATGTTTATAAACTTCACCCATTGAGCAGAAGTAAAAATGAACATATAAATAAGAAATTGATTTATTTTCTGCCCTGAGTGAGGGATTTAATGATTTATAGGATCCCTTCACTACTATGATTCTGTGAAGGCAGTCAAAGCTCACACCTGTGGCCGATGTCATACTTTAATCCAGATTAATAATCTTTGTAGGCTGACCCAAACAGTGCCCATGAATGATGACCTCACCAAGCTTAAGAATTTCTGATGTTCCAAATTAAGTAATGTTTTCTATACGTTGACCACATACTTTTCAAGATTTGTGGCTTTAGCCAGTAAGTATAAGGTTGAACATTCTGAAGACTACTTTAAAGCAAAGGTGTGCAATTTATTTCTATCCAAGGCTTTACTTGACCTTTCAACGTCATGCCATCTGGCCACACTGCAAAAAGTAGGAATAGCAGGACAAAAAGTCTTTTCCCTCTAAATAATAATGTGTGAGTTGGGGATCATCTTATATTCACTGTTAAGAATAAACAAAACAGAGGAATGGGCCAGACATATAAATAACTGCTGAACTCTCCCTGCTGCCTAGCACCTTGGCCATTACTTGAAAGGTGCTATTTGACATCTTTGGAAACAGTCTCCAGGTTTTACTAAAGACTATTCGAGGACTGGGCAGGTGGCCTTGGGTTGGGCTCTGAATGGGGTCTCTCTTCATCACTAGTCTATTAAGGATTAAGCAAGCAATGCCAGTCTTATTTTCATAGACTGGTAATGAAGTATTATCTTATTACTTCCAAGGTGTAACTCTAGTTCTTCAGTTGTAACCTTTGCATTTTGGCTCATTATTGACACATTGCTATTATCATTCTAGTGTTCATTTTTGCTTGTTAACATTATTAATTTGATTCATATTATTACACAATCTTCTCTTTTCACCATTGGTAATTTCTCGTGTAATCTTTTTTTTTTTAGAAAAAACTTTATTAATTTTCTCGTGTAATCTTATTGTATAAAATAATATTTCTCCCCCCCAATCATTAGAATGCAACAAATTATCAGTAGAATTGGTTAAACTTTAACTGTTTCTGTAGTCATTTATGTAGTTTTACAATCATTTTCTTTTATTCCACTATCTTATATATTTCTTGTAGTGAGGATAAAATGTGAGCTAAATTCCTCTAAGGAGTGTGCATGTAAGTACAAATAAAATTTAATAATTAGATTAGTAGGAGAAGGAGACCCAGATTTTAGTTCACACAGAAATTCACTGGGTGACTGGGGCGGGCAGTCTCTCTTAGTCAACCTACCTCAAAGGGCTGTTATTCTGAGGGAAAATAGATGTATGTAAAAATGTTATTATACCAAAGGTGGAATACAAATTATATATGCACATATGCTTCCTTTCAGCAAAAGGCCTCAGTCTGATTGTTATTGAAAGACAGCTGCCAAAATAAAACCAAGAACCCTGAACTGAGCAACAGTTTTAATACAGAAATTGAAGAGTTTTCAAAGGTCTGAAGCTCCTCATCAGTAAGTTATACCATTGGATTGATGGTTTAGGCAGCTGAGTTAGCATTATTTTAGGTCTGTGTGTCTGGTTTTGATTATTCTAGTTTGGCTGTTTCTGTAGTCATTTATGTAGTTTTACAATCATGTAGTTTTGTAGTTTTACAAGGATAACCATATGTGTTATATTTACCTCGGGTTTCTGTGGAAAGATCTGTTGGCCCTTTTCACTGAAATGCACTTTTGTAATGTTTCACAGAATATGACATGTTGAATATTAATCTCTATAACAACATTGATTTATTAGTTCTTAATAAGTGTGAAATCAAAGTATAGTGTGATGGAGGCTATGCATAAGTTTGGCAATCTAATGAATCATAACTTTACTAAAAGTAAAAGTAATACATGTAAAGCAGCTGTTAAACAGATATAAATTATATTTTATTTTAGTCAAACTATATTTGAAGGTGAGATGTTAATGTTTTCTGTAGACCTCTGAGTAGGTCCATATAGTTTATCCTTCTATTGCTGAAGAATAAATCTTTTAGGAATTACTGTGTTCAGGCATCACATTACTCATGAGTTATTGTAACACAAACTAGTCTAGCTTCCACCACCACTCCAGCTTAGCTGAATATCAAAATGATTTGTTTGCCACTGGTTGTACATTTTACTGATTACTTGAAAAACAAAGAGTTTTGGTGCAGAGTTCAGCAGCCACCAAAAAAGCTAATGCAATGCAATGTGCAGCAGCAGCCCAAAAAGCTAATGCAATCCTAAATTGTATTAACAGAGGGATACAATCAAGATCAAGGGAGGTACTAATACCACTCTGTTAAGCCTTAGTAAGACCACACCTAGAGTACGCATCCAGATTTGTACGCATCCACATTACAAAAAAGATGTTAAGACTCTAGAAAAAGTACAGAGAAGAGCAACCAGGATGATTAGGGGACTGGAGATTAAAACATATGAAGAATGGTTACAGGAACTGGGCTTGGCTAGTCTAGTAAAGAGAAGGACTAGGGGAGACATGATAGCAGTCTTCCAATATTTGAGGGGCTGCCACAGAGAGAAAGGGGTCAAGCTATTTTCTAAACCTCCTGTAGGCCAGACAAAGAATGGATGGAAACTGAACAAGGAGAGGTTTAACCTGAAAATAAGGAGAAACTTTCTGACAGTGGAAACAATCAACCAATGGAACAGCTTGCCCTCGGAAGTTGTGGGAGCGCCATCAGTTGAGACTTTCAAGAAGAGATTGGACTGCCATTTGTCAGAAATGGTGTAGAGTCTCCCACTTGGTGGGGGGTTGGACTAGATAACCTACAATGTCCTTTCCAACTCTGATTATCTGTTATCTGTTACTTGCTACATCAGGGAATAGTTTTCACTTAAATGTAAAAGGCCAAGATATTTATGATCAGCAATTTTACTGGATCAGAGGACACTCTGCAGGCTAGTCTTAGATAAGGAAACTAATTTTAATATACCCAAGAGCCGTTAAAAGTGTCCATTCCCGTCATATTAGAAACTTATTATTTTTGATAACACTCTCTTCCTTTGTGCTTTCTATGTTGTGAATTTTCCTAATATTCCCTAGACACCTTTTGTCACTTCACTCAAGATTGCACCCACAATTTTCTGATTGTATCAATATTATGACTATTTTGTTCTTTTCCTTTTATAAGAAAATAGTAAGCCAACCAAGTTGAGATTAACTGTACCTTCGTTCATAACCAAACAATTATCAGTTGGTAACTCTTTACATTTCTGATACGTTTTGGACTCAGGCTGGGTCTTGCCCAATAAATTACTCAGTTATAATTATATTGGCCATTTGTGGCTTTAACCTCCCAAAGAAATGTTGTAACAGTTTCTTTTGAGTATTGTAATTGCTTTCTCAATGACTGGAAAATAACTGAAAAGCTCAAGGTTCATTGCTTATCAGAGAACACAGAATTTTATATATACATATTTGTCAATATGTAGCTGCCAGGATATCAATTATTATATTCACATTAAGATTACTTAATGTACCACTTCTAGAAATGTACTCAAAAGGCCTGACAATAAGTGATAGTTTCACATAAAGCATAAAAACAAAAATTAACAAATTCTTAAAATAATAGAAAATTAAAATTCTGTTTAAATTCTATTCATTTCTTTCTAAGACGTATTTTCTCCTAAAACTACCCAGTAATACTATCACTAAAAGTAATTTTCATAATCTGTCAGAGAAATCAGTAGTATTCCAAAAGAAATGGCCCTGTTATGGAGATGAACTGTCATTGTCTAGCACTTCTTTTGCTAAACTTCCAGTCATGATGGATTCAACCCCCTCAACAGCATTGCTTTCTCTAGAAAACGCTGTGCATGAAATCTATATCTCAAATTGCCCATATTTTGAAAGATATGAAATTCAGGTCTAATAGATCTAAAAAGGTCTGAAAGTGAAACTACTGAATCTCATATTGTCTTAAGTGATTATCACCTTCTTAGAACCTTAGAAGTTAGAACCGTGGGGTGCCCTTTTTTGTCTCCTCATAATAAACTGGGGGTGACTTGGCCATGTGTTCAAAGCACTCACACTGAATTCATTCTCTTGTTCATCCTTTCCTTTCCCTGCTTTTTCTTCTGCTTAACTTCTATGATTTTTCTCGGAAATAATGGAAAATAGTAGTTAAATAATATAAATATCTGAGTGGAGTATTTATTCTGAGATTGCTACTGCTGGGGCTTACAACTTGTCTGGCTAGTTTGATTATTGATTACTTGGCTAAGACTTCAGGTGCAAAATTATTTTATCTGTTGTTGGTTTCTGCTTCTAGGCAACATTCATTACTTAATTCTGTTCTTATCATCTCTATTTTTTACATCTCTGTTTTTCAAGTAATCAGTTTGTTTGCTCACTGTACATGAAATGTACAACCAGTGGCAAAAAAATCATTTTGACATGCAGCTATACTGGAGTAGTAGTGGAAGCTAGGCTTGTTTGTGTTACAATCACTCGTGAATAATGTGATGCCTGAACACAGTAACTAAAAAGAAGTTCTTGAGTTAATGCAGGAGAAAAATGGCAAGACAGTAATTCCAGGCAGAGTATCAAACAGTGAACTATTCATGGTTAATAAATAGTGCGCTTAAAGAAAATTTATACTGAAGCTGTGCCATAAGCCTGTAAAAACAGGGAAGGAGTGATATTTAACTTTGGAGATGGAAGAAGTGATCTTCAGCCCTTATGGATTCATGCACAAGGTAGAGTCTTCATAACTGTGGTTAAATATCAGAAAAATGACTAGCTAAATATGCTTTCAATTGTGATATATAAGATTTAGTATTTTTGTCATTATTAGCCAGAATTATGTTTAACTTGTTTCAGAACACAAGTTCTGAAACAAGTGCGGAATTCTGACTTTTTATATTATTGAACATATCTAACATTACTTTATGTTAGGTTGCAGTAATCTTGTGCTATCCAGGTGTTTTGGAGCATGACAGTTGCTTATTTTTTTTTATTTTTTTTTAAATAAACTTTATTAATTTTACTTTTTTAAAAAAAAGACAACAACACAGCTATAAATTATATACAACAAAGAGACGCACCGGTCTTGGCATAAGCCAAGAGGGAAAGAAAGGAAAGTTTGAGAGAGGAAAGAGGGAAAGGGAAGAGAAGGGGGGAAAAGTGGGGAAAACAAAGGTAGGAAAGACAATTATAATAAAACCATATTTTGTGACTGTCAGTAAGGTCTTTTCTTCTTCAAAGCTATCGTCGGCCTTAGTCTTCTTAGCGGTGAACTATCTTTGATTAAGCCAAATATACAAAGGATTCCAATTGCTAGAATAAATTGAAGATTCTTTATTTTTTAATGCTTGGGTTAGATTGTCCATTTCTGCACATTGTAAAATTTTCTGAATGACCATAAGTTCAGTGGGGATAGAAGGTAGTTTCCAGCACTGGGCAAATGCCAGTCTGGCCGCGGTTAAGATATGGATTGTAATATACTTTGATTTTTTGGATATTCGTTTATCAAAAATTCCTAGAAGGAAGGACTCCGGTTTGTACTCAATCTGTTCCATGGTTATTTCCTCTAGCCAGTGCCTAATTTTTTGCCAATACTTCTGGGTTTCCTTGCATGACCACCACATGTGGAAGAAGGTACCTTCTATGTTTTGACATTTCCAACACTTGGGGCTCGTGTTGGGGTGCATCTTGGCCAATCTCGAAGGAGGCAGGTGCCATCTATAAAACATTTTATATAAGTTTTCTTTATAAGCTGCTGATTTCGTGATCTTAATGTTCCTGTTCCAGACCTTTTCCCATTCTGCTAGGGTAATGCTCCGACCCACATTTCTGCTCCACGCAATCATATTTCCCTTGACAATTTCTTGTTCCAGTTCTGTTTCTAATAAATATTTGTAAAATTTAGATATATTTTTTTTACTTGGTCCTAATAGAATTTTGTCTAGAGTCTGTAATTTATTGTAGATTCCAAATTCTTTAATGTCTTGTTTGTATTTACTATGAATTTGAAGGTACACCCACTGATCAATTATAAATCCTCGTTCTTGTAATTCTTGTCGTGTTTTTAACTTTCCTTGTAGGTCTAATAAATTTTCATACTTAATCATTTTGGTTATATCCAAATTATTAGGGTGTACTATCGCTTCCATTGGAGACAGCCAAATCGGTATTTTTAGATAAAGTTTTTTACGTACTTTTTTCCAATTAGTTAATAAAGCGTCCCTAATAAGATGCCTATGGAAATATGATTGCCTGGGTTTCCCTGATTCCCACAGAAAGGCATGCCATCCTTTCTGCATATCGTGGCCTTCTAATACTAGTGTTCTTTTGTTGGTTAGGTTTACCCAATCCTTTATCCATAGTAAGGTGGCTGCCGTATGGTATATTTCCCAGTTTGGCAAGGCTAACCCTCCTCTGCTTTTCAAATCTTGTAGGGCTTTTACGTTAATCCTAGCTTTTTTCCCCTGCCAAATGAAATTCAATGTTATCTTGTTTAGTTCCATAAAAATTTTTTTATTTAGTTTGATTGGAATTGTCTGGAATAAATATAGAAATTTTGGCAGAATATTCATCTTAATCAAAGCAATCCTGCCCAATAAGGAAAGTTGTAACTTGCTCCAGAAATCCAAGTCTTTCTTAGATTGTTGAAGAAGTTTGTCATAATTATTTTCTTTTAACGATTTACTTTGTGGAGTTAGCCAAATTCCTAAGTATTTAATTTTTTTTGTCACCTGTATTCCCATTGTTGTCTCTAGCTTTTTATTCTGGTCTCCTGTTAAATTTTTAGTCATTAATTTTGTTTTTCCCCTGTTTATTTTAAATCCCGCGACTTCTCCAAATCGTTCTAGTTCTTCTAATAAGTTGTGTCCTTTTTCTATAGGCTCCTCCAGAAAAAAAACCAAATCATCAGCGAAAGCCTGTAGTTTATATTCTTCTGATTTGATCCTCAGACCTCTAATTCTCAAATTTTGCCTAATGTACGTCAGAAGAGATTCTAGGGCGAATATGAAAAGCAGAGGGGAGAGAGGGCAACCCTGTCTTACCCCCTTTTCTATTTTTATTGGGCCAGTTTGTTCCCCATTTATTAGAATGTTTGCCTGTTGAGTGTGGTAAATTGTTGTGATGACATTTTCAAATCTGGTGCCAAGATTCATATTATATATTTTTTGAATTAAGAAATGCCAATTTAAATTGTCGAATGCTTTTTCAGCATCCAAGAACATAAATGCAAATTGTTTTTCCGGGTGGGCTTCATAGTATTCTGAAATGTCTATCACTGTTCTTAAATTATTCTTAATTTGTCGAAATGGGAGAAATCCATTTTGATCTTCATGGATATAAGTGTTTAAAACCTGTTTTAATCTATTAGCTATTATAGAAGAGAATAATTTGTAATCTGCATTCAGGAGTGAAATTGGTCTATAATTATTAATAAGTCTGTGGTCTAGGTCCTCCTTCGGGATCAGCGAAATTAAGGCTCCCCTCCACGAGTCCGGCATCTTGGCTGCTAAGAGTACAATTGCAAAAACAAATCTTAGCAGAGATGACTTCCACAACAACCACGGCCCTGAAAACAGGAAGGAAGAACAATCAGACCTTGTTGACAACTCTGGCATCTGCCTCCCCAACAACGCAGAAAACTATAGAAGAGACCTTGAAAGGAGAAAAACAACCGACTGTTACGAATGCCAACTTACAAGTGACATTATTATCCCTGCAAGAATCAATGCAAGAATCGATGTCTAGAATGCAGGAGATTATGATTAGGAATCATAATGAGACCAGAGCAGATATTAGCGAACTGCAGGAAGAAATGGGTAAATTAAAAGAGGAGATGAGAGCAGATATACAGAGAGTTGAAGATAGGGTTGGGACAATGCAATTGGTCATGGAAAGAACTGAATTAAAAATAAAAGAAATAGAGAACAGGACGGAACAAGTGGAGAGGAACCTAGAAAGGACTGAGGAAGATTTCAAAAATGTTAATAAAGAAATGGAAGATTCCTTGGTCCAACTTGAGATGGACAGAGCAGCTGCATACTTAAGGTTCCAAAATGTGGAGGAATCCAAAAATGAAGAATTAGAACAATTAATGGCAGGTTTGTTGGCTGAACTAGTAGAAAAAGAGAAAGATGAATTACTCAAGGAATTTGATGAAATCTATAGGGTGAATACCAGCTATGCAAGGCGTCACAATTGCCCAAGGGAGATCCATATCCGTTTTTCAAGAAGATGCATGAGAGACCTAATATATAGAAAGGCCAGAGATGAGAGAATATTATATAAGGGCAAAGAGATTATAATTCTTAAGCAGATTCCAAGTAAAGTGAGGGCCATGAGGCAAGAATATAAATTTTTAGCTAATTACTTAAATAAAAACGAAATCTCATTTAAATGGCTAATCCCAGAAGGGATGCTAATATCATGGAAGGGAAGAAAAATTAAAATAGACTCAATTGAACAAGCACAAAACTTCCTAGAACAGCTAACAACCACGGAGGATCAACTCACTAGGGAGAAAATCCAAAGAAATATGCAGGAGGATCGTAACCGCCATAGGAACAAAGAAGAAGGATCTGTCCATATTCAAGGGAAAGACAACTTACATCGAGAAAGAGAAGAAACAACTCCATATCAACCACAAGAAGAGAGCCGTAGAGTTACGAGACAAAAAGCGAGGCAGACTTAAGTAAATGGACGAAGGAAAGAAAATTCTTTCCATTAATATAAACGGCCTAAATTCAAGAGCTAAAAGGAAAAGGACTCTAACCAAACTAATAAAACAAAATGTTGATATAATTTGCATACAAGAAACACACGTTAGGAAAAGTGAGGAGAAATTCCTAGAGTGTCCAAAACTGGGAAAATTATTTACAGCACCAGCAGATAAACACAAAAAGAAAGGCATCGCAATCTATGTGAGAGATGACTTAAAAGCGGAGTTAATCTGGGCGGACCCTGAAGGAAGAACACTGGTAGTACAAATCTCGATTAATGGCATTACACTCTTACTGGTAGTAATCTATGCCCCAAATGATGATCAAGGTAAATTTTTTAAACATCTCCATCAAAAAATAACAGAATTCGAAAATGGTAATATTATTCTGATTGGCGATTTTAACTCTATTGCTGACTACCGGAAGGATCATAGTAATAGGAGTAAGAACAAAAAAGGGAATAGAGAATTTTCTAAGCCATGTAAGGATATGTTGAATGAAATGAATCTGGTAGATATCTGGAGAAAATTAAATCCCAAAAAAGAACAGTTTACTTATTATTCTAATCCGCACAAAATTTGGACAAGAATAGATATGGCTTGGATAAACGGTGAATTGATTAATGAAATCAAAGATAGCGAAATCTTACCAAATGACTGGGCTGACCACAATCCAATTCAAATAACCTGGAGAGGTAGAGGAAAACCAAAGAAAAGATGGACTTTTAACACTCATTTAACAAAAGAAGAAGAATATATTAATAAACTGAAAGACAGTTGCTTATTTTGGTACTTTCAGACTGGGGACTGATAGATGGTAAAGACAAAAGCATCTGGAGGGTATCAGATAGCTTGATTTTGGTTGTTACAGATAGCTTTTGGACCTTTGGAAGTCTTCAGTCAACTAATAGAGTTGTGGGGGGGGGATCTTTGTAGGACTAATGTAATGTGTATTGAGTTTCCAATCTAGTGCCTTATGAATGTGTTTGGCTACAATTTTAATCATTATAGTTATTGATAGGAATTCTAGTCCTAAATATCTACACAGTGTTGGGTCAGAAAGGAGAGCAGTTATTGGACATAGCAGACATCATTGCCCCCACAGGTGGTATTCAGTAGGTTCTGACCAGTTCTGGAGAACCGGTAGTGGAAATTTTGAGTAGTTCGGAGAACCGGCAAATGCCACCTTTGACTGGAGATTTTCCCTGCCACGCCCACCAAGCCATGTCCACAGAGCTGGTAGTAAAAAAAAATTGAATTCCCCCCCACCCCCATGCATCCTGCTCCCTATCCACTATCTTTTAAATCATATTGCTGTACTTTCATTGTTTTTAGTTTCATTTTTTACTGTGTTTTATATGTTCAATTGTTATAATTTACATTTTACTGTTGCAAGCTGCCCAGAGTAGCCCTATGGTGAGATGGGGTGCAAATAAATTTAATAAATGAATTAAAATAACACAATTTTTCCATTCATCTAATGGAATTACTTCTAATTTATCTATAAAACATTCATTTGCATTGTTAATAAAACCTCAGAACAAATAGTAGAATTAAAATTACATTTACAGGACAATCATTACATTACAATTACAACTACATTACACAATATATCCATAGGTATACTTTTTAATTTGCAAAACAGAGTTGGATTTATATGGTTTTTGGGATGGAGGAAGAAAGAGATTAGTATTTAATAAGCATATAGAATGTCAATAAAAAGGCAACAACAGTAAAAATGAAGCTTTACTATCCTGATAGGACAATATAATATTATTTCTAGCAAAGATAGGGTTTAATTAAGGAAGCAAATTTTAATACTTCCTTCCTTTTTTCATTTAAGCAAATTTATTTTATTTTATTTGGTTTGTCAATTGCTTACAAGATAATAGGTATAAGTAAAAACATAGTTATGAATACATGGATACATATAAGAAAAATAAAAGAAACAATAGGACAGGGACGGTAGGCACATTGGTGCGCTTATGCACACCCCCTACAGATCTTTTAGGAAAGGGGTGAGGTCAATAGTAGAAAGTCTAAGGTTAAAGTTTTTGGAGTTTGGGGAAGAAACCGCAGAGTCAGGTAGAGTATTCCAGACATGGACCACTCTGTTGCTGAAGTCGTATTTCCTGCAATCAAGTTTGGAGTGATTAACCTTGAGTTTGTATCTATTGTTTGCTCTTGTATTGTTATGATTGAAGCTGAAGTATTCATTGACAGGTAGGACATTGCAATGTATGATTTTATGTACTATACTTAGATCGGACCGAAGGCGGCGTAGTTCTAGGTTTTCTAGGTCTAGAATTTCAAGTCTGGTGGCATAAGGTATTCTGCAACGAGTAGAGGAGTGGAGAACTCTTCGAGTATTGGTCTAGCAAATGTTTTGTATGCTCTAGTTAGTAGTGTAATATTACCAGAGGAAAAGCTATTTATTTATAAATATTATAGAAATTTGCTTTTTAAAATAGTAATAATCATATAGTTGTATAGGTAGTCTTCAAATTACAACCACAATTGGGACCATAATTTCTGTTGTTAAGCAAATGAGTTGGGCTACTTTTATGACCTTTTTGCCACAGTTGTTAAATGAATCATTGTAGTTGTTAGGCTAATCACATGGTCATTAAGTGAATCAGCTTCCTGCATTGACTTTCCTTGTCAGAAGCTGGCTAGGAGGTTCTCCAATGGCAATACCGTGACCCTGAGATGCTATAACCATCACTAATACATCCCTGTTGCCAAGCATCCAAACTGATCATGTGACCATGGGAATGGTACAATGGATGTAATGCGAGGACCGGTTGTGAGTCACTTTTTTTCAGTACCATTGTAATTTTGAACAGTCACTAAAAATGATTGTAAATCGAGGACTACTTGTAATAATAATATATAGTCTAAGAAGTAGACAAATTTCGTTATTCAGTATGAAACATTTTTTTTTATAGACAAAGAATGCTCAATAGATCTGCATGGAAATCCATGATATTGGCAAAAAGAATCCCCTTCTTGGTTACTGATCCATTATTCCTCAAGCAGGATGATTTTTTAAAAAAGTTTTCAAAGTCTTATGCTGCTATATAAAGTGAGCTGAACATGAGTAAATGATTTCAGCAGGCTAGGGAAGCGGGAATTACTCCAACTCGTTGTTGATTCCTGCAACTCGTTGTTGTTCAGGGTGCCAAACATCTCTGCTTTCTCTCTGCTTTATTCAAGGACGTCCCATGAAATGGAGCTGACCCTTGCTGAAAAAGAAGCAAATGGATTAGACAATCCCACTTTTATTGTAAGTTTATATTTTCATCTTAAATTAAGTATCTGTATAAAAGAGTTTCAATCACATAAATGAAAGAGCAAGAATGATGTGGGCAATAGTTGGTGTCATATGCAATCACTTGATCTGTTTATTTTAAAAACTGCATTTCCTCCTGAAATCTAACAGAACAGCATTTAGCACATTCAAATCTAAGCTGTAACTTTTGCTGCTTGTATTTCCCTTTTTTATTCTGGAAAAAAGTAGGAGAAAGAACTGCTATTCATTTTAATATGTGTCCTTCCTCCTATTTTTTCAGGTTATTAATCCACTATGAATCATTCTCTGTAATTTCCTTCTCGGTTTTTTGAAAAAGAGAATGTATTATTTCTTGCTATTCACAGTCTATCTGAAATAGAACAGACTGTGATAAATACGTTACAATTAAACAGGCTTTCACATTATATGTTTGGTGGTTTTTTTTAATACCACTTGTCATCAAAAGAAATCTTGAAACAGCTTTACAGACTTTTGCATATTCTTTCTCTCTTTCTTCTACTCCTACTCCTACTCCTACATGCCATTTATGTATTACATTTATAGCCATTTAGTTATAGTTTGAAATTTGTAGTTCTCTGAATTTAATTATTTCTTTCATTTGTATTGCCTTCTTAAATGTTTGTTGTTTCTTTTGAATGATCTGTCAATGTGGTTTATTTCTATGTGTCTGTTGACGGCTGATTTGTTGGAATGCCAAGTTTCCAGGAATTCCTTAGCAGTTTTGATTTGTTTTGGTCTAGGATACTCTGAGTTTTCTAGTTGAAATTGTGGTTGAGCTTATACTCCTGTATTAAGAGGGTGAGGAGTTTTCATCTTGTCTTCTGACTGCTACTTAGTATTCATGGATATGCTCTGCTAGCCTTCTGCCTGTCTATCTACATAGTGGCTGTTACAGACTTTACACTCTATGTTGTAGATAACTCCTGGTCTTTTTGAGTCCTTTGATTTCTTTAAGATGTTTTGGAGGTCTTTAGGTGGTGTGTGTGCTAGGTGGTGTGTGCGTGATTGTAATGGTTATTGTTTTTTTAAATGTTTTTGATGTAGTGTTATCTTTTTTATAGCTTATATGAGTTGTCTTGTAGTTGGTTAAGTGGTCAAGCATTTTTGATGAAATTGTGTGGGTATCCATTTTATTGGAAGATGTTGTATAGGTGGTCTGTTTCCTTTTCCTGATGTTCTGGGTTGCTATAGTGGGTTTATGTTCATTTTAATACTGCTTTTATACAGCTACTCTTGTGGGAGGTTAGTTTGTTAATGTGGTAATGAAGCACTTGGTTAGTGTCTGTTGAACCCTGAACTGTATATATTCTGTTTATATGAGAAGATTCATTGTTTCTGCAGACTGATGATGGCAAACATTGTAACATCCCTGAAGAAGATCCTACAGTTCTAGATTATGAAGAAAACCCAGAAGACTTCAGCAGGCAAGGTGGTAACAAGCTGGCATACACTGTCACAGATATACCTCCATGGCATCTTTGCATCTTCCTGGGAATTCAGGTAAATCTTCAAAGAACAAGTTAGCTGGGAATTCTTGGTAGGGGTATGTTGGGCAAAAAGGTGAATAAAAATGTGAGTCAGCTAACACAATATAAGGATGTCTGTCAGACAGACAGACATACAGATTGTCTGTGTCTGCCTGCTGCCATCTATCTATCTATCTATCTATCTATCTATCTATCTATCTATCTATC